ATAGAAAAACAACACATCAGAACAATAACAAGAAAGAAAAAAATACACACTAACAAAATAAAACACCACAAAGAGGGAAAAATAAAAGTAACTGTAACGTATTCAACAAATCAACGTGGTGACAACAAGTGAGAAAGAGACGAAGTGAAGCTAGGTGAACTTTCTTTCAAAAGTAAAGAGGTTCGGTTTCTTTCTCTTTTTTTTTTTTATTTGACTTTTATCCTCCGATTTGGGGACCAAAAAATGCCAAAAAATCGAGCCACGATTGATTGGTCGCAGCCACAACAAACACAGATATCTATGCTAGTTCTATGTGTCGTTATCAATAATCCTCCGTAGATCTAGACTAGACAGCACACGAGTGAACACAACACATTAAGTTTAACTTAAGAGCAGCACCCTTCATAGGCAACACGTCATATCTGTAGCGAAAAACTGTTTGGAACTGTAGCGTTTCTTTATAAATATTTACTGCGGACATTTTTTGGACCGATTGAACCATATTGTATACGAACAATCTTTGGTAGGCCTATACTATAATTATAGATCTATATAATATCCGAAATTTGCAGAAAGGATGTGATTTCAGAGTGTTCGGAGAAATAGTGCCCAGTTTTATTTTCCCGAACGTTCGGAGAAATAGGGCCCAGCTTTATTTTCCCGAACGTTCGGAGAAATAGTGCCGGCCTTTTTAAAAAGTATGCTAATCAATGAAAATTGCAAATTGATAATAGATCTAGTATGTCTTGTAGAGGATAGGTGGACTCTGGGGTCTGCATAGCGAAGTACTAGGTTTTAGGATGTGAACCCCGGAGTCACCGTAGTGAAATAAGGTTTGGTTTAAGTAAGGATTGGTGGATCTCGGGGTCAACATAGTGAAAAATAAGCAGGCTTAAGGTGGACCCCGGGGTCTACCTAGCGAAATACTAGGTTTTAGGACAGGTGGACCCGGGGTCACCGTAGTGAAATAAGTAGGTTTCTTTAAAGATTGGTGGACCCCGGGGTCACCGTAGTGAAATAAGCAGGTTTAATTTTAAAAGGATTGGTGGACCCCGGAGTCACCATAGCCGTAGGGGAATAAGAAGGTTTAATTAAGGATTGGTGGACCCCCGGGACACCGTGATTAAGCCTACTTATTTTACTACGGTGACTGCAGGGTCCACCTATTCTAAAACCTAACTAGTATTTCGTCCACCTTAAACCTGCCTATTTCACTACGTTGACTCCAGGGTCCACCAATCCTTAAAATTAAACCTAGATCTACATGTACTTATTTCGCTACGTTGACCCCAGGGTCCACCAATCCTTGATTAAACCTAAATCTACTGATTTCATTACGTTGACCCCGGGGTCCACCAATCCTTAATTAAACCTAGATCTACTTATAATTTCACTATGTTGACCACGGGCTCCGCCAGTCCTACCATAAAATAAACTGAGATCTACTTATTTCACTATGTTGACCCCGGGGTCCACCGATCCTTAGTTTTAAACCTAGATCTACTTATTTCACTACGCTGACTCCAGGATTCACATCCTAAAACCTAGCATTTTGTTAGATAGACCCCGGGGTTCACCTATCCTTTTGGCTAGATAGACCCCGTGGTCCGCATATCCACTTCCTTGATAATAACTGAAAACAATACATGCCAGTTGTTATGAAAAGTGAAGACAAATGTGAGGAAAAAAAGATAATGAGGTAGACTATAATTTGTCCAAAAAAATTGCAAGTGCAAGTAAAGATCATAAGATAATTTTGTTATTTTCTGGTCATCTTTTCACGGTTTATAAAATGTTCCAGTGGGCCTACTACTAGATCTATGTGTCTCTGAAGAACATTTTGCTTGACTTTATTAGCTTTTTTCATGTACTTGAAAGCATAGAATATATAGTTTCACACAAATGTATGCACAATACTTTGAAAAAGAAAGATACGGTTTTACGTTGAGAAAAGCGCTAAAAACAAAATTAAAAATGTTGAGAATGCCCATAATATTAGGAATCCAAAATTATTACCTTGATCTAGTTGGCTTACTCTTTAATAACCATAAGAAAAAAAAAGAGAATGATATAGGATTTGTCTAAATATGACCATTAGCAATTTATAAAGATATCGCCCATTTTGTCCAATTATCCTTGCAGGTAAAATCACCCTGTACTGTACCTCAATGAGCACAAAAAGAATATTTCTGTGACTTTGTATAAAGGTGTTTTGTAGTTGAGTTCTATGTAAAATTCCCAACAAAATATCACCATTCCCTCCCCCCTCCATCCCTCCCCCCCTCCCCCCTCCGAGATTGACATAGCAACAGGATAATAAAAGAAGAGATAGAAGCAAAAGTTATGTGAAGAAAATCAGATTAAGTACGGTATGGTAATTGGAAGAAAAGACCGTACAACTGAGATAGACACTCATGCACACGCCAATAACTTCACACATTACACACACACATACAAACATACTATTACATTTACTCTCTCTCTCTCTCTCTAGATCTCTCTTTCACCAAAACCACACACAAAAAAACCACATACACACACACTCTCCCACACACACACGCACCCACCCACCCACACACACACACACACACACACACACACACACACACACACACACACACACAACTCTTATCCTTGGTCCACTTTTCATTTAGTATCATCCTCTATTTTGAAATAATCCCCTGCACTAAATAAAACGATCAGTAGAACCTCGACCTTCCGAATCCATGGTTAGTTCAAGAAATCTACCATATGATGTGGCCTAAAAAAGGTAAGGGAGGGGGGTGTAGCTTATCTGGGCCACAGTGTGGCCCAAATAAGGTAAGGGAGGGGGGTGTAGCTTATTTGGACCATATGTGGCCTAAATAAGGTAAGGGCGGGGGGTTTAGCTTATTTAGGCCACAGTGGCCTAAATAAGGTAAGGGAGGGGGGGTTAGCTTATTTAGGCCACATGTGGCCTAAATAAGGTCACCCATTTTTATTAGGTAGGGGCCCTGAACCCCCCCCCCCCCCCTACTCTTGGGGCCAAAACCCGCGAATAACAATTACGGGCAAATACGGGATGGGAACTACCGAAAAAGCGCCTGTTCTAGATCTAAGATCTAAAGCCCCATTTAATTTCTCTCATTTAATTTTTTATCAGTAGACTAACTAGATAACATAGATCTAGATATCTAGATCTAAATTCTAATCTAGATATTAGATCTAGCTAATATTATTAGTATAGCCAACGTTATGATGAAATGTAGAATAGATCTAGATCTATAGACTCTTTATATATATAGATCTATATGATGTACTAAAGTAATGTTCTCAAAACATGCATTCAATAAAAATAGTGTCAGTGTCATCTCTGGAAAAAAATGACGGACTTGCTTTAAAAGAGCCCCAGCTGTAGAATCTAGAAACCTTATAAAATCTGTAGAATTAACCACCCACTTGGATTTTTTATTTGTAGCCTATGGGAGAGTGGGGAAAATTAGTGGGCCACTTTGGGAAGAGTTAAAAAAAACCCACTAAATAAATATAACTAAAAAAACCCACCAAAAAACAAGGGACTAAATGCTTCAATCTAAACAACAATATTAATTGTTTTTAAAAAACAGTTATAAGCGGTACAACAGAGATAGAATGAAAATGGTTCTTTAGGGTGCTGAAGTCAACATTACAAATGGGGAAAAGTGGGCCATGGGTGGGGAGAACTGCACCCCCCCCCCCCCTGTGGGGAGAAATGGGCCCCCTATGGGAAGAAATGGGCCACAGGTGACATCTGTAGTCAGGGCTATGGAACCTACACAAAAAAAAAGCAATCTGAACTCCTCACAACGGCACAAATATGGAATTTAACGGAAATTAAGACCACCATGCAGTGGCCGTCCAAAAGTATCAGAAGTCGACATAGGAACAGATGTCACCTCTATGGGGTTCTTGCAATAGTGTCTCAGAATTCAGAATGTTGGTGGGGGTAAAATCATAAATGGTTCTGATTTAGTCAAAATGGACTGAAGAAATTAATAATATATCTTCCACTGCTGCTTTTACGAAGTATTTATTTTTAAAGAAGTTTCTAGAATACAGCTGACAGGTGTTTACAAAACTATTGATCTGTTAAAATTTTAAAATAAATTGGTACAAGTCAGTGTGCAAAAGCTGGAGAGTATGTTCAATAGTTTAGGAAATATTTGACAAAAGTTCACACATTTTTGACCGCACTATAATGGGTTTACAACTAGTTGCTTTATTAACTGTATACTACACTCGTTTTAACAGAGGCAGAATTAAAAAGGGAGGTCGTTTTTATGCCACAATTTAGGGGTCTATGCGGTCTGCCAGAGTTCTGACAATACATTTAGTGTTGGAAGTTGATGAACCTACGCTGAGACCAAAAAGAAAACCCCCAAGATTCCTTGCTTACATATTATTGTATAATTTAAATTAGCTTCCCACTGCTAGTGCAATCAGTGATTCGGCAAGAGTAAGCCTGCATTGCAGGTAAAGAAGAGAAAGGTAAAGTGTAGCTTCCCATTTCGAATGGCTCAACCTGGTCACATGTGGGCAACATCCAGGGTTGTTGTATCTAGGGGTTACAGTAGAGTTGTAGATCTACCTTTGTCTTATGGGAAGTAACAGGAAACAGCGTGATGTAATATAACGATCTTTTTGTGATGTTGCAAAGACATAGGGGAGGTAGGTGTTGTTAGTTCACTGTTTTTTGTTTTGGGGTTTTTACAGTCAAACCTCGTTATTGTAACCCCCCCCCCCTTATACCGCCAGCCCCTTATAATACTGCCAGGTGTTACCCGTGTACGAAAAGGTCTCCCAAAATGCCAATAATGTAAAAAATACGCAAGGGAGGAAATGGGAAGTGGCCTTTTGTATACGTGATTGTCTTTTTTACCAGTGGCCGTGAGAGCAGGTTTGACTATAATTTCTTGAAAGTAGTGCATCAAGGTGTTGGAGTGATAATATGTCATTGCTCTTTTTTTGTTTTGAATTTTCAGATGAGAATATATCACTTTTGAAAAAAAAGCTCCAGGTATTGGAGGAAATATACTCAAAACAACTCCGTCAGGTGTTAAAGAGTCAGAAAAAGGATCCCAACAATGTGTACAAGCCTAGATGGATTCACTTCAAGAGTCTTGATGAGTTTTTAAAATCTCAGAGCCTACAGAAGGTACGTGTTTCTTTAGTGCATCCTTGTAAATTTCCAATTTCCTCTGAGTGTATATTATTTCACAATTTCTGTCTTTCTATCAGGTCTTTATTAAAATATCAAAGTTTTAAGTTTGTTTCAGTGATTTTTTTTGTTGATATTATTTTGGTAGGTGTTTTAGGGCAGTCGCAACTACATAAGGTCATATGAGCGCACGGGACACACCGAACAATTCCAGTTGGTAGGAAATTTTGAATTTTGCCCAGGTGGCGGCTGAAGCCTACTTTTATCAATTTTAGACCACCAAAGAATCTTTAACTTGTGCAACTTGCACACGGGGACTCCGAGATTTTTCGCCCTTGTGTGAGACATTTCCTACCAGAAGATCAGGGGTGTGGTTGAAAGACAGCAGTAAGAAGGAGCCAAGGAGTAGCAGTAGAAAGGCTGCTGAAAGAGACTGGAGCCCAGAGGAGCGGGCAAAGAAGGTGAAGGGGTGGGTGCAGAAAATGGAGACGAAAGCAGACAACAGAACATTGTTGGAGAGCAGGATAGGAGGAGAAAGGAGACAATTTTAGAGAAGAAAATTTTCCGTCGCTACCCGGATTTGAACCCCGGACCTTTGAATGAGAAGCGAACACCTTAACCTCTAGGCCACGAGAGCCCCCTTGTGATGTTTTAGTGTAGTCTCCTGCTATCACAGAATTTTCACCATCAGTGAGATTCTTTCTCTGTTCTTAGTGCTGGCCACAGAAAAAAATCAAGCCTTGCAGCCTAATCTCTGTTTGAGTGTAAGTCCTTTAGGCTTATCATCATTGTGTTTTTGTACACCTGGCCAAGGTTGTCACATCTACAATCGCCACAGAAACTTCTACAGTAAACATTATAGAGTCGGATGGGAAGAAAAATAATTTTTTAAACTTGTTTTAGTGGAAGGGTGTTTTACTGTCTTTTTTTCCAGGTTTTTCATTAAAGTGGCAAAGTTTTAAGCTTGTTTCATTGATGTTGTGTTAGTTTAGTTTTGAGCGTTGTTGATTCAAGGTTTTCAAACTGGATCACTGGATTTTGCTACTGTGAGAAACAATGGCTATTGCTGATCGTGTTAAAGTTGATGTCCATTAGATGATCAGTTTGGTTCAGTTCGGTTCGATTTGATTTCCGGCGGCTTCAGTGCACACTGCACATAGACCTCTTCCTCAAACAAATCGCCCTACCCACGGCCTTGAAAACAAATGTGTTTGTTTTGAAGGTCGTCTTCGGTTTCATTCGATTTATGCCGTGGTGGTAGCTTTCGCCCCTCCATCTGGCTAGCCCCAAAGACCAAATCAATCCAAACCAAACCGAACAGAACCGATCCTGCCAATGGTCAGTGCTTAATACCAAAGAAGCATTTGATGTCAGAACCAGATTCCCCTCCTGTATTCAATTGTAACGGAGTTCCACAGTTTGGTAAATTAATTCGTAGCTCAATATGAACCTTTTGAAAATTTTCAAAATTTACGTTTGGTGCCCCTATCTTTAACACAATTAATTTAGATAATCTTGGACCCGTGCCTGTCAAGGCTAACCTAGGCTGAGAGGGACACAACATCCCTGCAAAAAGACTGAGATACATAGCTTAATGTAGCCTACTCGACAAAATATCTCCCCACTCGGGAATTAAATTTGAGTTTGCCAAGTGTGATAGTGGAGTGCCTAACCACAACAACATGGACATCTGTTTTAAATTCAAGAGCCTCCGTATAGTTCCATTTTTGTATGTGGTGACCCTTGTATACCCCCCCCCCACCCCATGTTTGTATTGTATGTTCAATTAATGATACATACGTTGTCGCCTCAGAACTATTTTGTCCAAAGTGTACTTAAGTAAAGAGGCACTTTGGACAAAATATTTCTGAGGCCACAACATGTACTATTTCATCGGCATGGGGAAGCCTGCCTTTTACTGCTCAATATGTCAGGTCTGATATGGGGATGCCTCACCCTTTTACTGCTGAAATGTCGTCTGATGGTTTAGATTTTTCCTGCTCAAGTCTAGTGATGAAATGTTCATGAACCATTGATGTAGGAATGTTGTAATGCAAAGGACTGTTCTGTTGCAGCATTTTGACACTCAGAAGGCTGCTGGTGCCCAGAAGCTGATCCAAATCTAACTTCTAATCTAAGGGATGATAATTTTTCAACAGTGAGAGAAAAAAAGTTGTCCGCAACCCCCAAACCCCTAACAAGGGGATCTTTTTTGTTTGCAACTTCTTCCTCTGTCTCACCATGGGGCCATTGTAACAATATTGATGAATAATATTAGTAATGATAATGACTATAATGATAATTATAAAATAGTAATAAAAATAATGATTGCATAAATTACATTGGGCATATCCATACTTTGTAGCCTACAGCATGCACTGTGTGCTTTCTACTATTATCATTACTCAAGCAGACGGAGAACACTCAGATTACTCACAGGCATTCTCGGCTTCCCGGGAAGCATACAGTGTGAGCTGCCAATTAAGCGCTGAAACACTAACAAACTGACAAGATCTTTTACCCTCAAAAGCCGGGTACCCGTGCCCAGCTTAGCGAAGTGGGGAAATTCTTGTGGAGTAAAGTGCCTGTCCCAATGGTACTACTTTGGGATTCGAACCCGCAACCTTACCGATGGATTGTTAACTGTTTGGCATATGAGGCTTATGATTGTACATCATATGTAGATATTTTTTATAACCCGTCATTTACTATCTCGATATTTTGATCCCTGTTGTTGTCTAACTCACTGAAATACTTTTTTAAAATAATTACACAAAAAACTTGTCTTTGCATCAGAATTCTTTTGTTTTTGCAGATTTCTACTCGACCGCGTAAAGCAGCGATGGCAAATGACGAAAGGACAGCAACGTCACAGTCTAGATGGGCTGGTTTTGGTTCCTATGTTACAAAGTCTCTTGACATACTTACTCCTGATGAGTGTGCTGCAGCTGTAAAGGAGATGGAAGCCATCATTAGCAAATTTGTGTCTAAAAGTCTAGTCCGCACATAGAGTATACACATTGCGAAAAATGTGAGTAAATTTAGCTAGAAAATTGCTCGGCTGCCAAAGTTTGTGACCTCCAAAGCTTGAGCGTCCTTAAAAACTGTACATTTTTTGTGCCTTTAATCAACGTTTTCCAGGACAAGCCAGGCGCTCGTCGAAACAATGAAATCCAAGAAATCGGCAATTTTTGGCAAGTTTTGACATTTATATAAACATTTTTTTTGTTTTTTGGCCCAACACCTTGTATGTCCATTCAAAAACACTATAATATATGGATTTTATGGGAAAAAACATTGATTAAAGGCATGAACGATGTACATTTTCAGTTTCCATGGACTCTCAAGCTATGAAATAACTCAAGTTTGGCAGCCATTTTCCGGCTAATTTTCTCTGGAACTAGGCGACCCTGCCTCCTTCAATGGCAAATATCTCGGCTTCTATTCAAGGCAAATGGATGTTTTTTTCATCGAAAGAAAGGCAAATAAATAAACTTTTTGACGATGCCAATAACTCCACATGCCCAAAAGTTGACGAGTGCCCGATTTCACTACGTCGTGATTCATATATTTATACATGGGTATTTATATTATTTAAAAAAAAAATTATACATTTCTGTACAGTAGATGAGAGAGAGAGAG